CTCTCTCTCTCTCTCTCTCTCTCTCTCTCTCTCTCTCTCTCTCTCTCACACTCACACTTCTCTTGGCTCTGTTTCTCTGTAGAACCCAGAATAATGCAGTGTTTATTATTTATTTTCTTTTTACTTTTTGTATGTTTCAAAATTTTCTTGATAAAAATTGGGAGAAAAAGTTAAATCTCAATCAAAAACTTCAGTCTGTCACCCAGTTCAAAGCTTCTACCTTCTGCCTACTTTATCTTATGCCTGACCTATGCTGACTTTTTCAAACAGTCAGTGTGGCAAGAGGGTGTGATCTATTTATTCTCATTGCTCCACCTTCTCTCCTAGTCCTCTGCTGTGTCTTGTGTCTCCAGAGGTGGCAGTGAGGGTAGATGTTGGGTGAGAATAGAAAGCAAGAGAGGAGAATCGTTCTTGACTGGTGCTGGTGTACTGTAACACTGGTGTTCTTTGTGGGGCTGATGACCAAATGCTGCCTGCTTTTCTTTTACGGAATGCTGTGTGTGTGTGTGCGTGCGCGTGTGCGTGTGTGTGCGCGCGCGCGTGTGTGTGTGTGTGTGTGTGTGTAGAGTTATTTCCTCCCCACCAACTAGGGACCTTGGCAATGTATCATTCGTTCTGTGGGTAATGACTGCTCAGGAATGAATCTCTTTCCTCCCTGCTGCTCAGGTGATACTCCCCTAGGTTCCTCCAGCTACAGGTAGTTTTTTCCATGAAAGCAAAGCTTGACTCTTCCAAAGTGTCCATTTGGCCACAAGGCATATTCTTACCCTACCATAATATAAAAGGGCAGGCTTCTCTTGTTGCTGCTGCTTCTCTTTGCTTTATTTCATCTTTATATATGTATCAATTCATTTTTGCTGTGTAACAAACCCTCCTAAAACTTAGTGACTTAAAATAACAACCCTTTAATGTTATTGAGCTTGGACAGCTGGGCAGTTCTGTTGATCTTGGCTGGGCTCCCTCACGTGTCTGTTGTCAGATACAAGTCAGCTAAGTGGCTCTGCTTCTGGGAGTTAGCGGATTTTGGCTCAGGGTGATGGAGATGACTGGGCCATGTGTCTTTCATTATCCATCATCTAGCCTGGGCTTATCTGTGTGTGACAGCAGAGTTCAGAGAAAGCGGAAATAATCAAGGCCCCTTGAGTCTTGGGCTGCTAGCTGGCACACCATTACTTCCTTTACTGTGGGCCTGTGCAAGGCCCAGGACCAGCCCAGATTCAAGGAGCAGGAAATAGACTCCACTCCTTGATGGGAGAACCTGCAGTGTTACATGGCAAAGGTGAGGGGATATAAGGAAGAGAAATAATTGCAATAATTTTTGCAAACAATGTCTCACAAAGTGTGGACACATACTCTAGACATACATGCATCCTCCTTGGTTCAGCACCTCTGTCATGGAATGGGATTGTCCTGTGAACTTCTGAAGCTCAGCATCAGTTCTTTGATCTCTTTTAGGAGTTCTGCCCTCGCTTCCTTTTGGTGTGAAGCAGGGCGAGAAGGAGGACTATGTCCCTGATCTCATTAATAATTTAATGGAGGTGAATTAATTGTTTTTTCCATTAAAATGATAAAGAGTTTAAATATAATAAAAGTGAAATATTAAAATGCAAAACAACAATAAAACTTCTTGTAAATAAGTTTCAGAAGTCAAATTCTCAGGGGACCTGTATGGGGAGAGAAGAAAAACAGCATAGTATTTCTCTCTCACTAGTTCTTTCACCTTTAAAATACACTTGTCTTGGAGAATCCTGTCCAATGAATCGCTAACATTTTCTTAGATATGCTGGTCACTATCCAGAATCAGTTAGATCACCTCTTAGCAAGACTGCATGATGTTTCCAGGATTTCTCTTTGGAATGTGGTGGACTTTATTATTCATTGTCTTTACTTTAAACTTCAACTGAAACAAAAGGAAATGCCCCTTTTAATGTCTAAATTAGCTTAAATATGAGGATATAGAAACAGTGAAATGTGGGACTCTAGCTAAGGATATCTGGATGATTATTCTTCTTTATGTGGATTATAATGGGCCATTTATAACTACTTTCAAGTCTAAATCATTTAAAAATACATTTTAGTTTTTCTGTGAAGTCTGTGGTTCTCATTAAAACTTACATGTTTAATCATGTTGATGAAACTATTGTACTTCCAAAAACATTACAAGTGCCAATCTGATTGAAGATCTTCCTAATGCCTAAAATTAACTGAAAATGATGCTACATTGACGTATAAGCACTCCTTTAACATAATCACTTGGATAGGATTACAACAAACATTTCACCTAAAAACACTGTCTTTTTTTAAAGGTGCTGAGTAGCATCAATTCAATTATTCACAATCCAAGAGCTCCAGTAATAATTTATAAACAGAGCAAAGGAGTCCAACATTTTAATAAAGATCTTGTTCAAGATTGTGGATTTGAGCATCTTGTTCCTATAATAGAAATGTGGGCAGATCAGCTGACTTCCCTAAAGGTAAGGGGTTGAATGTTCTTTATATGCTTTGAAAATCTATGGAGTCTATGGGCTTTTTAATAGGACTAGGCCTAATTTTTTATTGTTATTCTTTAACTGTAAAGCTGAAAAGGTTTAACTTATCGAAAATTTGAATTTTGCTACTTAACATATCTGTTTTAAGTACTACCTATTTGATGTTGTCATTACTATAAGCTTTGCCTCCTGTAAGGTTTACCAAACAAGACATTTTTAGGCCTGTTGCCTTGTTGAAAATCTATCGTAGATCCACTTTGCACTTCTAAGTCCTCCACTGTTCTGNCAGTGTCACTGGCCCTCATATGTGGGATCCGAACCGGGGCCCTCTGGCATCCCAAGCCAGTTCTTAACCATCGCGCCACTCGGCCGGCCCTAACTATAATTACATTTAAATTCAGATATATCAGTTTACTTGTATTGCCACTAGAGAGCATATTGGCTTTTCTATGTCTCTTGTATTCTAGATAATATGTGTCTGGTACTGCCTTTAGGCAAAACTGTAAAGTGTGTGAAAATGGTAAGTAGGTGGAAAGTCAAGTGGAAAATGGATTGTGAGGTCTTTGTGTCTACTAGAGGAAGGAGGTTGGCTTTTTACCTAAAGCTGATTCCATTTATTAATTTGTTTTTGGTATATATTCATCAGAGAGCAGAGATAAGCAATTGAGTGAAGATCAAGGACAATACATGTGGCTGACGTAGATAATTGTAGGGGGAAGCACCATACTCTCCAGCTCTTGCTGCTGCGGTGCCCAAACCAATTGCGCTGACCATCGCTCCTTGCTCCCTTTACCTGTAGCCGCCAAGCTTGGAGCACATTTTATGTTGCTTCCGTCCTTTGCTGTAGTTCTTCCCTATTCTATTTTTTGCAAGTGTTGGGGGGTGGTCAGAACTTTCTTTTTCACTCTGATCCCTTTTGTTTTTAGTGATTCTTTCTCATTTGTGGTCTATTGAGAGGACCTTCTTGTTTTCCAGTGACAATATGGCTTAAATTTTGTTTTTAAATGCATGTATGCATGTGTGTGCCTGCATGCATACACACATATATACGTAAAAACGTAAAGCTATTGAGAGGGTAGCTGGATCATTGGCTCAGTTTATCTTAATCCAGTGTCTAGGAAAGCATTTTGTAATATCTTGATTTTTTTCCCCCTTTAGATTACAGAACCTTATCAGTCAAAACAAGGCTGAGGACACAGAGAAAAAAGATGAGCCCAGCAAAGATAACCAGCAGCAGGCCCTAATTGACCAGAGACACTTTCAGGTACTGAAGAGCTGGCAAAGGTGGTGTTTGTAGTCAGCCGTGGTTTCCACTGCAGTGTAATACATGATCAGTTGGTAAGGGATACTTGTATCCGGCATTTGTGTGTGCTTATCCTGTCTTGGCTTGCAATGACGTACCTATTTGGCTAAAAACTTTGTGGGTAGCTTAACTTAGAATTTTTCTTACCCCTTAAAAGAGACTTTGGTCTAGTTCAAAGAGGGGTAGTAAAAAGCTGGTAAGTTTTTAAAAAGATTTTATAATCCTTTTCCTCACTCTCTCCCGTTAAGCCATTTCCCTTTTTATTGTTTTTGTTGTTGCTAATATTATTATTATTTAAGTAAATCTGTTTTCTTAAGGCCCTTGCATGGTTTGTTTTTTATTTAGATATTTAGTTCATCTGAAATTTAATTTTCTACGTGGTGAGATATAGAGATCTTACTTTACTGGTTTTATAGAATAAATATTCTATAGTATTTACTGGATAGATGTGCAGTTAATTAAGCCTGGTTGTATACTGACTGAATATACAGTCAGTATAAGACCGTATAGTGCAGTGCTCAGGCCTGCTCTTATTTTATTGGACCTGCACAGGGTTTTTTTAAACTTTGAATTAATTACTAATATTTTTAAATTAAGAGATTTTTATTTGTTAAGTCCTTATTTCT